TGGTGTCAGAAGGAATAACTCAGTAATGTGTCTGCATCTGGGCACTTCTGAGAGAGCGGGAATGAGGGAGAGTAGGAGAATCGGATGGATTTCATTACTGGCTTGCTCGAGTATAATGAAGAGACAGGATATGGGGCTCTCCTCCGTGGCTGGAAGAGGGAGGTGATGGTTAGTGTGAGGTGGGGCAGGAGAGGTTTGATGGAAATTTGCCCGCAATCGCCTTAATCCATTATTTGAGGGACTTCGTGTGAATTTGATGTAATCAGTGTCGAGTTCATTCGGTGGCACTTATAGATGGTGTTAATGTCTTTCTGTTACACACTGACCTTGAACCATGAGGCGAACGGAGAACAACCAAGTCCATATACGTCATGTTATATTATCCAGTCAGAATGGCCTGGTTGTTATTCTAAAAGAGAATGTTATCTGTTAACTGTATGTAGGCCTACATTTAACTTACCTTTAAATAAAAAGGTAAATGGATACGTGAATAGGGGATGGGATTTTTTATTTTTTATTGACTTGTCACAACTAACTTGACGTCAGGCCTAAAGATTTATAAACTCCATTTAGGCTGGATTGATCTCTTTTTTTAAGCGGCGTTGCTACTGCTCTGAAAATAGATTTGAGATTGGGAGAAATGTGTTGAAAAAACACAGCTACCAATAACTCATTATTTTTCTTCTATGCGAGTTTTTTTTTAGGCTATTATTTACGCTATGAATTACATTTATAAAGGAATGCTTAAATACCTTTTGTCACAAGTTTAACCCGTCCTCTTGTTCTTATAACATTGCCAATATGTCGTTAATTGTCTATGGAAAGATGACACTCACAAACATAATGGTGTTCTCCATTTTGCTCTACGACTCCCACAAGTCTCTTGGGACTCGTCTGAAGTTGGTACAGTCGATCTGCCAACTTCTGTCTGTAGCATCAGAACAGTTTGGGCTAAACACTAATAGACTCACGAACACAGACGTCAGTTGTTTTGCTCTAGGACGCCACAGGCCTCAAGACTCATCTGAAGGTACCCCCCCCCCCCCCCCTGGCTTCGACTGTTTAGTGCCAAAAATAAGGGGTTAAATACATGTAGAAAACATATATATATATATATAATGTTTTCTACATGGCTTCTACCAAGGATCATTTTGCTATTTGATTTTAGAATTTTGAAGTATCAAAAGAAGTAAAATAAATGTTTCATCAAATATTTGTTATTTTCTTTTCTTTTGATACTTCAAAATTCTAAATCAAATAGCAAAATGATCCTTGGTAGAAGCCCCTCCCCCGGCTTAGACAGGGCTTAGACTGTAATGGATTAATATAAGGGGCGGCAAAGTATGTCCGGCCCGCCGGGCACTTCAATCCGGCCTGCGAAATATTTTTTTTAAATGTATTAAATATTATTATATTTGAGTTACGATTTTTGGCCTAAAATTACTCAATCCATGATATACAAACAACCTCCAATAGATGGCGCTGTAGCCTGGCAGCGCACTCTGTATTTGGGCCTACAGTCAGATTCAGAATGCGCTCAGTCATCATAGCCACTTCATTGCTTGATGACTTTTGAAGTGAAAAATGAGTGCTGCGAAAATGAGAAGTGGACTCTGAATGCCGTGTGTTTAAAGAAGAATGGACAGAAAAATAATTTTTTACTAATATCGGACATAAGGCTGATATGCCAAGAAAGTGTAGCAGTTTTTAAGGAATATAATCTCAATTGTCATTTTTCAAGCAAGCATGCTAAAGCTGGAACATTTTGTCAAAGTGGATGTAAAACTTGTCAACTTTATATGGGCAAGGGGGCTTAACCATCGTCAGTTCATTCAGCTGCTCAATGACACAGAGGCAGAGCACCAGGACTTGTTGTACCATTCAAATGTGCGCTGGCTAAGCCTGGGAAAAGTATGTCGCTGTATGTGGGAACTGAGAGGGGAGATGGGTATGTTCCTTGATACGGTTGGTAAAGCTGACGACTTCTCCGAATTGAAAGACACGGACTGGCTAGGCGACTTTGCTTTCGGTGTGGACATATTGGGGCATCTGAACGATCTAAATGTGAAACTGCAGGGAAATTGTGCCCACATCGCAGTGCCGCATTGAGACATACAGTAGCAGTATCGATCTGCATGCTGAGTTTTCCCACCGCTTCTCAGACTTCACCAAGATTGAGACTGAGCTGGAGTTTGTATCATGCCCTGTCTTTCGACAGTGAGAAAGCACCACCAGATACACAATTGGAGCGCATCGACATCCAATGTGACAGTGCTTTGAAGGAGAAGTACAAAACAGCAACAATAGACCAGTTCTATGGCTCACTGAATGAAACAAAGTTTCCAAACATTACAAAGCACGCCCAAAGGATGCTTGTTTTATTCGGGTCCACATATGTGTGTGAACAAACTTTCTCAGTCATGAATTACAACAAATCCCGTCACAGGTCAAATTTAACAAATGACCACTTGTCAGCTGTTCTGAGAATCTCTAAATCAAAGATGACCCCAGACTTTGATGCCCTTACCAAGAGAGGTGACCAGACCCTTTGTTCACATTTAAGACTCAAATAACCGTGACTGGGGTAGGCAAAGATTATGCTTTTTCATGGTGATGGTTATGCAGTGAGAATTATCCAACAATGCACTTGGATACAAATCAAAATCAAATCAAATCCAATTTACAGTGAAATGCTTACAAGCCCTTAACCAACAATGCAGGTAATAACTAATCAGTCAGATTTGGGCTGAGGTGATTGGATAACTGTAAATATGGCTCACAGTGGAGATGAGAATTGTTCCTTAAACCTCTTAAGGATCGGACCCTTTTTTTCAATTTTCGCCTAAAATGACATCTAACTGCCTGTAGCTCAGGACCTGAAGCAAGGATATGCATATTCTTGATACCATTTGAAAGGAAACACTTTGACGTTTGTGGAAATGTGAAATTAATGTAGGAGAATATAACACATTAGATCTGGTAAAAGATAATACAAACAAAACAACATGCGTTTTCTATTTGTTTTGTTCCATCATCTTTGAAATGCAAGCGAAAGGCCACAATATATTGCCATTTAGGAGCAATTTGGATTTTGGCCACTAGATGGCAGCAGTGTGTGTGCAAAGTTTCAGATTGATCCAGTGAAGCATTGCAATATTGGACTATTTTGTATCAAGTCTGCCCAAATGTGCCGAGTTTGTCAATTTATACATTTTCAAGTACATAACTATAGAGAACATACAAAATGATATGGTAATACAAAATGTAAGTTTACACACTCCCAGTAATGTCATACATGATGGATCATTAGCTTATACAAACTTTCACACATCTAGATGGACAGCAGGGGTTCAAACTGTAGAACCGTTCCTACATTTTGAATATAAAAAAATTGATTTTATCAAACATAACTACCCTTAGGATGACAAATCAGAGCAAGATTACTGAATATAAGTACAATATTTACCTTCAGAGGTGAATGAATCAAACCAGTTGCCGTGATAAGTTTGTTGTTGTTGTGCACTCTCCTCAAACAATAGCATGGTATTTTTTCACTGTAATAGCTACTGTAAATTGGACAGTGCAGTTAGATTAACAAGAATTTAAGCTTGCTGCCCATATAAGACATGTCTATGTCCTGGAAAGTTTTATGGTTACTTACAACAGTCATGCTAATCACATTAGCGCACGTGAGCTCAACCGTCCTGTAAATGGGACACCGATCCCGTAGAGGTTAATATGCTTTCAAAAACAGACCATTCCAAATTAAACTGCTCTTACCATATGTTTCACTCACATTTTTGAATAGTTTTCTTTACACATCTGCTGTTACATTTTGCATGTCTTCTATTTTTAAGATTGCATATTGTGACTGTGTTTGATTTTTTTACTATTTTCGACATTGTAGAATAATAGTGAAGACAACAAAACTATGAAACAACACATGGAATCATGTAGTAACCAAAAAAAGTGTTAAACAAATCAAAATATATTTTATATTTGAGATTCTTCAAATAGCCACCCCTTGCCTTGATGACAGCTTTGCACACTCGTGGCATTCTCTCAACCAGCTTCATGAGGTAGTCACCTGGAATGCATTTCAATTAACAGGTGTGCCTTCTTAAAAGTTAATTTGTGGAATTTCTTACCACCTTAATGCGTTTGAGCCAATCAGTTGTGTTGTGACAAGGTAGGGGGTATACAAAAGATAGCCCTATTTGGTAAAAGACCAAGTCCATATTATGGCAAGAACAGCTCAAATAAGCAAAGAGAAACAACAGTCCATCATTACTTTAAGACATGAAGGTCAGTCAATACGGAACTTTTCAAGAACTTTGAAAGTTTCTTCAAGTGCAGTCGCAAAAACCATCAAGCGCTATGATGAAACTGGCTCTCATGAGGACCGCCACAAGAATGGAAGACCCAGATTTACCTCTGCTGCAGAGGATAAGTTCATTAGGGTTACCAGCCTTCACTTGGTTTCAAAAACTCAATGTGGCCCTTGAGCCAAAAGGTTTGCCCACCCCTGGATTAATACCTAGAATATTTTTCATTGTGCTCCTACATTTCTGTATGTGCTCCTGCATTTTTCAATTTAGGCTTGTAAAAAATGTCAACGTAGAGCCCTGGGACGTTTGTTGAAGCAGCCGTCCATTTCTGTTATGCCTGTGGACTTTTTATTCATATTCAAGTATGGAAGCATGCTTTTGTAAGCACTCACTGCAGTATTCTAAGGTCTTCTGTGGCCATGTCTTTATGCGTACCGTTCCTCATAAACCACTCTCCATGCACATGTTAATCTCTCCTTGTCCACAAAGCACCTGAAAAAAATATGTTTGTTCGTATGTGTGTGCGTGTGTTTGTCTGTTATTTTGTGTGGGTGGGTCTGTCCAGAGCTCCTGGAGTCCTTACTAGAGCGATGCAGTGTGTACATATGTGTGTCTGAATGCATGTTCTGTGTGTGTTGTAACTCCCCTCTCTCCTGTCTCTCTCCCTTTTAGAGCACCTTAAGGCGTCTCTGGAGGAGTACATGGTGCGGATGCCCAAGGTGAGGATCTTGCGCACCAAGAAGAGGGAGGGGCTCATCAGGACACGTCTGCTGGGGGCGGCCGCCGCCAAGGGAGAGGTCATCACTTTCCTCGACTCGCACTGTGAAGCCAACGTCAACTGGCTGCCCCCGCTGCTGGGTGAGTCATCCTGTTAGAACACACTGAGCATTGCTTTGCTTTCTGGTCATTCTGTGGTAGATGAATATAATTACTGATCTGTACAATGTGCCCATTACCTTGTCCAAAGGAGGGACATTTCACGGTTACACTGATGTTTGACTTTGGCCGTGTACCTCTTTCTCTCTCGCTCTCTCAGACCGTATCGCCACAAACAGGAAGTCCATCGTCTGTCCGATGATCGACGTGATCGACCATGACAACTTTGGCTATGAGACACAGGCGGGTGACGCCATGCGAGGAGCGTTTGACTGGGAGATGTACTACAAACGCATTCCCATCCCCTCTGAGCTGGCAAAAGAGGACTCTAGCGAACCCTTCGAGTGAGTATTACTGGACCAGACAACACATCAGGGCCCAGCAAATCAGCACATGTACAATGATCATATTCCAGTTTGTGTCCATTCATTTTCTGTGTGATTGCCAGTGCAGAAGTGAGACGTGTGTTAGATGCAGTGACAGGGAACATTTTGGAGGGCAAAAGTCCATGCTGGTGTGAAGGCCTCTAAATCCCTCCGAGCTCTATGCTCCATGGCTACTGGCCTGGTAGACAATATGCTCCCCTCCTCTTTCATTGCAAGATGAGGCAAGGCTTCCCTGGGCTCCATGCGTATGTGAGTGCTCCCTTAGAGGTCAGTAGACTGAAATTGGGAATATCAGCTTTGCAATTCTAATTCAAACTAAATTGTGACTGAATATTCATGGGCGATTAAATGGGATTCTAATTCTTATGGAGCGACACAGGATAGCATGATGAAAATCTGAGGGATGGAGGGAGGGGTGGAATACGAACGACGTGGTGCCAGTGAGGGAGTAACGTCAGAAGAGCAGTCCTCTTTTGATAAGTGCTTTACATGGTCTCCGCTGTTACCTTCCTTCCTTATCTGTGCGGTGCAGCCTGTGGGTTCATGGCTGTTGACTGCCAAAGACTTCTGCCTTTTGAATGCCCCAAAACAGAAGTACTTCAGCATGCCAGACTCAAACCATTTGCCCTTGGAAGATAAAAAAACAAACAGAACTTGGCTGTTACCATTCTAGCTACTTCAGGATTTTTCCTAATGCTTGGGAAGCCCCGGAGTGCTCTGAGCTCCCAGCCTCCCACTGTCTGCCCTGTTTCCTTAATTGATCATCCTAACGGAGAGGCTTAGGAACCAGATGTGTGCCTGCCTGTCTTCCTGCCTGTCCGGCTCTCTCTCATGAGTCAGAGTGAAATGTCAAACTTTTCTCCCCCCTCCAATATCAATCCAGAGAGGGTTCATCTCTGCCTCCAATTTAGAGTTGAAGGGGGCCACTGACTTCCATGACAGCCCGTGGCGTTCATGCGGGAAGTGTGTGTGTTGCCAGGGCCTGTTCTGTTGGGAGGGCCTGTAATGTGAGACGGCAGCGAGCGTAGTGGAGACTGTAGTGTGTCTCATTCGGACACCCTGCCTATTTAATTGTCTCATTGTCTCCCTCTGACAGCCCTTCCGGTCAGGGACACCTCTCCAGTAATAAGGATGTCATTCAGGGTCCCCCCCAAATCCGGTCCAAATCCTGTCTGCCTTTACGGGCCGTCGATAAACACTACATTCATCATTACCCGTCTGCAACTCTGATTTATTAGAACCTGTCAGATAAGTTTGAATGGCCTGAGAGTGAAGACTCATCAAATCACAGAGGAACAAATGACTACGGTTGAGCGTGAAAAGCCCTGCAGCATTGCCGTTCTTGACACACTCAAACCGGTGCGCCTGGCACCTACTACCATACCCCGTTCAAAGGCACTTCAATATTTTGTCTTGCCCATTCACCCTCTGAATGGCACACATACATAATCCGTGTCTCAATTGTCTCAAGGCTTAAAAATCCTTATTTAACCTGTCTCCTCCCCTTCATCTGCACTGATTGAAGTGGATTGTGACATCAATAAGGGATCATAGCTTTCACCAGGATTCACCTGGTCAGTCTGTTTGTGCACTCAATTTACATCCTTGGGATTCACAACAAGACTTAGGCCTTTATTTTAATTCAGAGCCACTTGAGGGAAGTGATCCTACAGTGGAGCTGGAGTGCCAATATGTGTTTGCCATTGTGTGTTTGCCATAGACCACTGCGCCTCCCGAGTGGCGCAGTGGTCTAAGGCACTGCATTGCAGTGCTAGCTGTGCCACTAGAGATCCTGGTTCGAATCCAGGCTCTGTCGATGCCGGCCGCGACCGGGAGGCCCATGGGGCGGCGCACAATTGGCCCAGTGTTGTCCAGGGTAGGGGAGGGAATGGCCGGCAGGGATGTAGCTCAGTTGGTAGAGCATGGCGTTTGCAACGCCAGGGTTGTGGGTTCGATTCCCACGGGGGTATAAAAAATAATGTATGCACTCACTAACTGTAAGTCGCTCTGGATAAGAGCGTCTGCTAAATGACTAAAATGTAAATGTAATTATGCGTTGAGTATGACGCCTATTATGCCGTGGCGTTGATGGTTTCATTGTTTTTGTGTTGTTCAGAGAACCCCCAGGTAAGCTGAGCCGCCTGCACGTAACTCTCAAATTGATGAGTCTAGTTGCGTTATAAAGCCTTCGTCTGGCACAAACGGTCTATAAAGACTGTTGTAAACCGCGGGCCTGCCATTGCGTCACCTTTCCTAACTGATTTACACACTTTTGATTGGTATGAATATCTTCCTGTCCTTTTGGTTGGTTTGAAGCCAGTGATTGATTTAAAGGACAGTGTCATCATGTTGGGGTATGAGTGTGACAGGTATTGGCATTGTATACTCCCCTTCTGTCCTTGAGGTCTCCTGTGATGGCTGGTGGACTCTTCGCCGTGGACAGGAAGTGGTTCTGGGAGTTGGGAGGATATGACACAGGACTGGAGATCTGGGGAGGAGAGCAGTACGAGATCTCTTTCAAGGTAAAATGACACTGGACGCAAAGACAGCTTTGTTGATTTTGGGAAGATTACCTTATTGACTTACAGTTGTGTTCTTGGATTTTTAGTCCTGGAGATACACAGGGTGTGCAGGCTTTTGTTCCAACCCTAGTACTACTGTAACACTTCATAATAAGGGGCTTCATAATAAGTTGGTCCCGTGTGGCTCAGTTGGTAGAGCATGCGCTTGCAACGCCAGGGTTGTGGGTTCGAGTACCACCAGGGACAAGTACAAAAATGTATGCACTCACTACTGTAAGTTGCTCTGGATAAGAGTGTCTGCTAAATGACAAATGTATAAGTTGAGTCAGGTGTACTGGACTGGAACAAAGGCTTACTCACCCCGTAGTTCTCCAGGACCAGGGTTGAAGAACACCAAATCTCACCACCAACAAGCTGAAGCCACCGCTGCCTAGTTTAATCAGAAGCCCATTAACTAATGAGCTCTAAGGCAACGATGGAAGTTGGCATTTAGATTTCACCTCATATTTCAATCATTTTGGTCCAAATCTGCTCTGCTTCTCCAAGAGCTCCTACATCCATCAAACTCAGAAACCATATTAGATTATGCTTTAGAGTTCTGCTTCACTGTGAATTATTCTATAGGATAGCCATTTATTATGTGGACTCGCACGCATGTAAAGCATGAGTCTCCCCATTGTCTCCAAACCCCAGCCCTCCTCTTCCCCTTTTGGAGCTAAAGTGTTTAAAATAATTGAATTGTGGTTTTAAAACAACAAGGTTCTTGCAGACTCACTTATATTCAGCTCACTGGTACTGCCGGTGTACATAAAGTCTGCAGAAAGTCGAAGTGGCACTCCTCTACTTGGCTAAAGACTGCATTAGAACATGAAACCCTGGGAGAAAGTTTGGAGAGGGTGCAGCAAAACCCATCCTCTCATCCTTCCTCTTGTCAAATTAAAGAGGTTGATTCGCCGTCTAGACTCTTGACAGATCTCAGGCCTGGTCTGGGAATAGGACGGAGACCAAAATGTTCAAAGCGGCCCAAAATTCACTCAGATCATTCTGTAACCTTTTACAAATGTAATGCTGTGACTCCACTGTTGGAATGCAGAGATAAACTGATATAAAAGGATAATAAAACCATGGCAGAGACAAGAGAATATTCTCTTCATTGCTGCCAGATGATACTTTGGTAATACAGCCAGTGAAGGATATGACACGGGACTGGAGATCTGGGGAGGAGAGCAGTACGAGATCTCTTTCATGGTAAATGACACTGGACGCAAAGACTGCTTTGTTGATTTTGGGAAGATTACCTTATTGACTTACTGTTGTGTTCTTGGATTTCTAGTCCTGGAGATACACAGGGTGTGCAGGCTTTTGTTCCAACCCTAGTACTACTGTAACACTTCATAATAAGGGGCTTCATAATAAGTTGGTCCCGTGTGGCTCAGTTGGTAGAGCATGCGCTTGCAACGCCAGGGTTGTGGGTTCTACAGTGGAGCTGGAGTGCCATGCACTTGTCCTGGCCTACTAGCACTGATTTTGCTGATAAACACTTTGTTGAGGGAAAATGTACTTGCTACGATTATGATATGTTGTCTCACTTAGCTATCTTAAGGTGAATGCAGAAATGTAAGTCTCTGGATAAGAGTGTCTGCTAAATTATTATTATTATTTTAATGTAAATGTAACCACAAACTTTAAATAACTCTAAATAGCACTTCACATTTGCCAAGATCCACCCCTCAGTTGACAAATGCAAATGTTAGGCCCCACTGTGGGCAGAGAGAAAGTGATTGTGGAGTGCTGCTTTGGTAACTGTCATTGGCTGTAGTGTCTTCTCTATTGTAGACTGCCCACCCTGCTCCGTACTTCAGTGGTTTTAGAGGTCGTCAGTAGAGGTAGAGGGATTAGCAGCGCTGCACACTAATCCACTGACAGCACTTTGCTAGAACTTTTGATCCCACTTTCTCATTAAATATAAATGTTTTTAGAGAAGACATAACATTCCAAGTGGAGCGCGGTGGTCAGGGAGGGCACAGGGTTCAGTCAGACAGAGTGACCCTGCCATGGATGCTAATGCGATAGGAGTAGGATGAAGTTACCCCTAACCTCTGTTATAGGGTCAGATATGTTGTATTCCCCTAATGCAGGGATCATCAACTAGATTCAGCTGATGGTCAGGAGGCCGAAACATAATTATAAATAATTTGTAGACCTGCAAATTGACCGCAAGAAGCCCAAACAGATATAACATTTGACTAAAACATAATCACTTCAAACCTTTCTTACATTTGTATACAATCACATATACCCTAAAACTTCAATTAAACACAGTCTCAAATAGCCGGCTGTCCCTTTTTAATAGCCGGGCAATGGCACACATTTCAGCAAAAAAGTGCCTGTTTCAAATAGACGCCGGGTCTAAATGAATTGTTGAGGTTACCATGCATTACCATGAATTGTTTACGAGGTTTAATGTTTGATTTGTTACATTAAGTTATTCAGTAATGACTCGAAAAAATTATGGCAATCATCTGTTTTTATCGGCAGTAAGAAACTGCTAGCCATTGGCTGCAAACATCTAAGAACTGCTAGCTTAACTGGCAAGCACAAAAACAGTCAACAACTTTGGGAGTACAGACCAGACTATGCGAGTGGAGCGAGGAGCGGAGTGTGCCCAATTTGACTGGAGCGCAGAGCGAGTTTCCCAAAGGCTGGAGCGTAGGCCTTCTCGCCTGCTCCAGTACCCGCTCACTTCACGGTTTGTTTATTTTTATTTATTTGGTCGTTATAAAAATAAGCTTTTGCTGTTTTGTTTTTTTAGGAGGTAGATCAGCTTTAATATTGCAGATAGATTGTGGCTTCTATCAATGTAATTGTCTGTATCATTTCCAATACCCCATATAGCTTTTGTATGTGTATGTATATATATATATATATATATATATATATATATATATATATATATATATATATATATATATATATACACTACCGTTCAAAAGTTTGGGGTCACTTAGAAATGTCCTTGTTTTCGAAAGAAAAGCAAAAAAAATTGTCCATTATAATAACATCAAATTCATCAGAAATACATGGTAGACATTATTAATGTTGTAAATGGCTATTGTAGCTGGAAACAGATTTCTAGGCAGAGTTGCAAAGAAAAAGCCAAATCTCAGACTGGCCAATAAAAAGAAAAGATGAAGATGGGCAGTCTGAGATATGGCTTTTTCTTTGCAACTCTGCCTAGAAGGTCAGCATCCCGGAGTCGCCTCTTCACTGTTGATGTTGAGACTGGTGTTTTGCGGGTACTATTTAACGAAGCTGCCAGTTGAGGACCTGTGAGGCATCTTGTTTCTCAAACTAGACACTAATGTATTTGTCCTCTTGCTCAGTTGTGCACTGGGGCCTCCCACTCCTCTTTCTATTCTGGTTAGAGCCAGTTTGCGCTGTTCTGTGAAGGGAGTAGTACACAGCGTTGTACGAGATCTTCAGTTTCTTGGCAATTGCTCGCATGGAATAGCCTTCATTTCTCAGAACAAGAATAGATTGACGAGCTTCAGAAGAAAGTTATTTGTTTCTGGCCATTTTGAGCCTGTAGAGAAACCCACAATTGCTGATGCTCCAGATACTCAACTAGTCTCAGGAAGGTCCGTTTTATTGCTTCTTTAATCAGCACAACAGTTTTCAGCTGTGCTAACATACAGTTGAAGTCGGAAGTTTACATACACCTTAGCCAAATATGTTTTTCACAGTTCATGACATTTAATCCTAGTAAATATTCCGTTTTAGGTCAGTTAGGATCACCACTTTATTTTGAGAATGTGAAATGTCAGAATAATAGTAGAGAGAATGATTTATTTAAGCTTTTATTTCTTTCATCACATTCCCAATGGGTCAGAAGTTGACATACACTCAATAAGTGTTTGGTATCATTGCCTTAAACAATTTAAACTAGATTCAAACGTTTCGGGTAGCCTTCCACAAGCTTCCCACAATAAGTTGGGTGAATTTTGGCCCATTCCTCCTGACAAAGCTGGTGTAACTGAGTCAGGTTTGTAGGCCTCCTTGCTCGCACACGCCTTTTCAGTTCTGCCCACAAATTTTCTATAGGACTGATGCCAGGGCTTTGTGATGGCCACTCCCAATACCTTGACTTTGTTGTCCTTAAGCCATTTTGCCACAACTTTGGAAATAAATATACTAGGGGTCATTGTCCATTTGGAACACCCATTTGCGACCAAGCTTTAACATCCTGACTGATGTCTTCAGATGTTGCTTCAATATATCCACATAATTTTCCTTCCTCATGATGCCATCTATTTTGTGAAGTGCACCAGTCCCTCCTGCAGCAAAGCACCCCCACAGCATGATGCTGCCACCCCCGTGCTTCACGGTTGGGATGGTGTTCTTCGGCTTGCAAGACATCCCCTTCTTCCTCCAATCATAACAATGGTCATTTTGGCCAAACAGTTCTATTTTTGTTTCATCAGACCAGAGGACATTTCCCCAAAAAGTACGATCTTTGTCCCCATGTGCAGTTGCAAACCGTAGTCCGGCTTTTTTATGGTGGTTTTGGAGCAGTGGCTTCTTCCTTGCTGAGTGGCCTTTCAGGTTATGTCGATATAGGACTCGTTTTACTGTGGATATAGATACTTTTGTACCTGTTTCCTCCAGCATCTTCACAAGGTCCTTTGCTGTTGTTCCGGGATTGATTTGCACTTTTCGCAACCAAAGTACGTTCATCTCTAGGAGACAGAACGCGTCTCCTTCCTGAGCGTTATGACGGCTGCGTGGTCCCATGGTGTTTATACTTGCGTACTATTGTTTGTACAGATGAACGTGGTACCTTCAGGCGTTTGGAAATTGCTCACAAGAATGGACCAGACTTGTGGAGGTCTACAATTTTTTCCTGAGGTCTTGGCTGATTTCTTTTGATTTTCCCATGATGTCATGCAAAGAGACACTGAGTTTGAAGGTAGGCCTTGAGATACATCCACTGGTACACCTCCAATTGACTCAAATGATGTCAATTAGCTTATCAGAAGCTTCTAAAGCCATGACATCTCATCACCCCGAGAAGAGAACACCATCCCCACAGTGAAGGATGGTGGTGACAGCATCATGCTGTGGGGATGTCTTTCATCTGCAGGGACTGGGAAACTGGTCAGAATTGAAGGAATGATGGCGCTAAATACAGGGAAATTCTTGAGGAAAACCTGTTTAGGTCTTCCATAGATTTGAGACTGGGACGGAGGTTCACCTTCCAGCAGGACAATGACCCTAAGCATACTGCTAAAGCAACACTCGAGTGGTTTAAGGGGAAACATTTAAAAGTCTTGGAATAGCCTAGCCAAAGCCCAGACCTCAATCCAATTGAGAATCTGTGGCATGACTTAAAGATTGCTGTACACCAGCGGAACCCATCCAACTTGAAGGAACTGGAGCAGTTTTGCCTTAAAGAATGGGCAAAAATCCCAGTGGCTAGATTTGCCAAGTTTATAGACACATACCCCAACAGACTTGCAGCTGTAATTGCTGCAAAAGGTGGCTCTACAAAGTATTGACTTTGGGGGGATGAATAGTTATGCACGCTCAAGTTTTATTTATTTTTTGTCTTATTTATTTTTTGTTTCACAATAAAAAATATTTTGCATCTTCAAAGTGGTAGGCATGTTGTGTAAATCAAATGATACACACCCCCCAAAAAAATATTTTAATTCCAGGTTGTAAGGCAACAAAATAGGACAAATGCCAAGGGGGGTGAATACTTTCGCATGCCACTGTGTATATATATTTATTTTCCTTTATTATTTTCCCCTAACCCTACCACCCCTCCCCTAATTGGAATAAACTAATGTACAACAATACTTATGCTTCCATTCCAGCTTATACATACTACATACATTTCACTGACAGTCAATTTTACATTAGTTATCTTAGTTTGTTTTTAGTCACAGCCTTCAGCTACCCTCAACCCCTCCCATCTATCTCTGAAGACCATCCAGTTTTGATTTCTAGCTGCCATATATTTTTCCACTGTGCTTTTGCTGTGTTTCAACGCACATGCTTTTTGTGTCATAGTTTGTTTCATGTTTTTACATATACCTTACATAAACTAATGGAAATGTTACTTTCTTTCAAATATTTATATTGAACAAAAATATAAATGTAACCTGCAACAATTTCAAAGATTTTATTGAGTTACAGTTCATAGAAGGAAATCAGTCAATAGAAATAGTCATTAGGCCCTAATTTACGGATTTCACATGATTGGGCAGGGGTGCAGCCATGGGTGGGCGGGCCTATACCCTGCCAGACCCACCCCCAGCCAGGCCTAGCTAATCAGAATGAGTTATTCCCCACAAAAGGGCTTTATTACAGACAGAAATGCTCCTCACTTTTGTCTTTCTTTCTCAGTTTAGTGAGCATGCTTTTGAAGCACACACACATGGAGGATTACAAATCAGTATGAGGAGCTACCACGTGATGGTGCCTCCGACAGCCTCTCGTCCCCTTCAGGCCTGCAGCACACAACGTTTACAGTAGACTTGTTTTGGCCTGTGGCTCAAAGCTTTCACCTAACTCAGAAGTATCAACCTGAAGTATGTCACATTCACACAGTGACATTTCAGTCCTGCGTTCAGTATCATGCAGTCTTATACTTCAACTATACATGTTTCTATGCACATTTTCTGGCTTGTCAGAGTTTCCTTCAATCTTAGCCAGGCCTGCTCATAATTGATGTGTTGGTCCAAAGAGCCCCAGGAGGCATTTGTAATAGTCTCACTCTCTGTCAGTATGGTGATGACATCACTGTATCGCTAATCGTACCTCCTGCCTCCCTCCTTTCCTGCTACCTTCATCTATCTTCCCTCCAATCCCTCCCTCTGGAACCACTCTCTCTTTTATCCCTCCCTGCTCGCCTAGTACCTGTCAGCCTCTCATGTCCTCGCACTGTTCACAGATTCACAGCTGCATGCTATGGGTACACGCAGACACAGGGGAGACACAAACTAACACAGCAGTGATGCCCTGACCCCCACACAGCTGTCTGTGTTAAACCTCTTTCTCTCTTTCTACCCTCTGCTTGCTCTCTCTGTCGGTCTTTCTCTTCCCCCTCAGGTGTGGATGTGTGGCGGGCGAATGGAGGACATCCCATGCTCCAGGGTGGGTCACATCTACAGGAAGTATGTTCCCTACAAGGTCCCCGGCGGGGTCAGCCTGGCCAGGGTGAGTGTTGGATTGGTTCCTAGACTCACCTTTCCCTCTCTATTCTCCTCTTTAGAAGGGATCTACAAAGATAAAAATGCCACAGTATGTGGAACCTATATTGCAGAATTTGTTATTTTAAGTGTCTAGTAAAGAGAGCATTCATCTCCTCTGCTGAGTTTCTCTGCAATAGTTGTATCCTCAGCAACACACACCTTTATATTGCAGCCACAAACCCACCCACTATCGTCACACACATCAGGAATGCTGTGGAGTGTTTGAAGTGAATGTTGACTTTGTTCCACAGTCAGGCCCGGAGTGGGAATGAACGAGTGAGAAATTCCTCTTTCTTTCTGGTGGTGAATTTATTTAAACTCATCACGCACCCGCCTCGCGCTGTGTTTTAACAACTTGAGCATTCGGAAATAACAGAGACTCTTAACAAATGCATTTTGTGCACTAAGTTAGATAACTGACCTTGATGAGGAATACGCTGTAAAGACGCTTTAAACAGGTTTGCAGGTACGGAATTTTTAGATACCTTCTATGCTTTGTTATACACTACATTACCAAAGGTATGTGGACACCTGCTCGTCGAACATCTCATTCCAAAATCATAGGCATTAATATTGAGTTGGTCCCCCCTTTGCGCCTATAACAGCCTCCACTCTTCTGGGAAGGCTTTCCACTAGATGTTGGAACATTGCTGCTGGGACGTGCTTCCATTCAGCCACAATAGCATTAGTGAAGTCGGACACTGATTTTGGGCGATTAGGCCTGGCTCGTAGTCGGCGTTCCAATTCATCCCAGAGGTGTTCGATGGGGTTAAGGTCAGGGCTCTGTGCAGGCCAGTCAAGTTCTTCCACATCGATCTCGACAAACCATTTCTGTATGGAGCTCGCTTTGTGCACGGGGGAATTGTCATGCTGAAACAGGAAAGGGCCTTCCCCAACTGTTGCCACAAAGTTGGAAGCACAGAATCGTCTAGAATGTTGTACGCTGTAGTGTTCAGATTTCCCTTTACTGGAACTAAGGGGCCTAGCCCAAACCATGAAAAACAGCCCCAGACCATTATTCCTCCTCCACTAAACAGCCCTTACAGTTGACCGGGGCAGCTCTAGCAGGGAAGAAATTTGACAAACTGACTTGTTGGAAAGGTGGAATCCTATGACGGTGCCACGTTGAATGGCCATTTTACTGCCAATGTTTGTCTATGGAGATTGCATGGCTGTGTGCTTGATTTTATACACCTGTCAGCAATGGGTATGGCTGAAATGGCCAAAAACACTCATTGGAAGGGGTGTCCATATACTTTTGTGTATGTATATATAGTGTATTTCCACATTCTTTCGAAACCTTTGGAATGCAACTGAAACCATCCATTATGTATGCTGATCCCTGCCCAAACCATGTTTGGCTTGGTCGGATGTGTAATTGAAAACTATTGGCCTGTTTTTTGGGGTTACTTTTTGGCTTGTGTTCTCAGATGAAGAAGGCCTGTTTTGTCTGAGGGAGGAATGTTAATGACTGGATTGGGGTCAATAGTTAAACATGTATTTCTTCAGAAAGGAGATGCACCAACAAATACACAAGCACCTTAGAAAAGGCCTCCAGTTAGACAAGGCCGCCACTGCAATAGTTAAAATGCATACATAATACGTACATTCATATTGATTGATTTTCAATAACATGATGCCGAAAGAATGAAAACTGTGAATGATCGTGGGGTGAATATTGGACCTAAAATAGAAAGTGCCTATTAAGCACAACTTTGTGTTCAGCATCATCCTGGTTTCCCTTGTTCCTTTTTGAAGTGGAGCTCCGAGAAAGGGTGGAATTCAGAGTCACAGAGGAGGCATTAATTGCTGGCCTGCGGCGCTGTTTCTTTTTTTTTGCTCCCACAAAACTTGACTGCAGCTGCCTTTCCTAGACCCCCCCCCCCCCAATCATTAGCACCACCCCACAGTAGAGTTGGGACTATAAACCGAAAATGATCGACACCCATCACTTTACGCAATATTGGTGATTGTTAATGGGACAATTGATGGCTACAACGATCAAACTAGTAGTAGTAGTTTAAATGATCATTTTAAACTGTGGTGCACATTAATGCTAGAAACGTATCATTCTATTTATTGTTATCTCATCAATTCAGGCAATTTATTATTTTCCATATCGCCCAACTCTACCCCACAGGCACATCTCCCAAACCCCTCCTCAACCTGTCCTTGACTGAAATTAATGAGGTATTATACTGAACAAAAATATAAAACGCAACATGTAAAGTGTTGGTCCCATGTTTCATGAGCTGAAATAAAAGATCTCAGAAATGTTCCATACGCACAAAATGCTGTATTCCCTCAAATGTTGTGCACAAATTTGTTTACATCCATGTTAGTGAGCATTTCTCCTTTGCCAAGATAATCCATCCACCTGACAGGTGTGGCATATCAAGAAGCTGAATAAACAGCATGATCATTACACAGGTGCACCTTGTGCTGGGGACAATAAAAGGCCTCTCTAACATGTGCAGTTTTGTCACACAACACAATGCCACAGATGTCTCACGTTTTGATGGAGCGTGCAATTGGCATGCTGACTGCAGGAACGTCCACCAGAGCTGTTGCCAGAGAATTTAATGTTCATTTCTCTACCATAAGCCAACTCCAACATCATTTTAGAGAATTTGGCAGTACTTCCAACCGGCCCCACAACGGCAGACCATGTGTAACCATGCCAGCCCAGGACCTCCACATCCGGCTTCTTCACCTACAGGATCGTCTGAGACCAGCCACCTGGACAGCTGATGAAACAGAGGAGTATTTCTGTCTAATAAAGCCATTTTGTGGGGAACAACTCATTCTGATTGGCTGGGCCTGACTCCCCAATGGTTGGACCTGGCTCCCAAGTGGGTGGGCCTATGCCCTCCCAGGCCCATCCATGGCTGCACCCCTGTCCAGTCGTGAAATCCATAGATTAGGGCATAATGAATTTATTTCAATTGAATGATTTCCTTATATGAACTGTAACAGTAAAATCGTTGAAATTGTTGCATGTTGCGCTTATATTTTTGTTCAGTATATTTTTGTTCAGCCATCCAGCAGTCAACGAGACCCCAGAGGACTGTTGGCATCCATCCCTCTCCTACAGTCATGGTGGAGCAACAGTGTTTTAACCCATTCTCTTCTCCCTTGGTCCCTGTACAGAACCTAAAGCGAGTGGCGGAGGTGTGGATGGATGAGTATGCAGAGTATATCTACCAGCGGAGGCCAGAGTACAGGCACCTGTCAGCAGGAGACATGACTGTGCAGAAGGACCTGAGGAGTAGCCTCAACTGTAAGAGCTTCAAGTGGTTCATGACAGAGGTGGCCTGGGACCTGCCCAAGCACTACCCACCTGTGGAGCCCCCTGCTGCCGCCTGGGGAGAGGTACACATTCATTTACTAGTTTATTTAGAGCGAGAGACCGACAGCTAGAAAGATAAAAAGTTAGGAGATAGAGAGAAGCGCAAGCGAGACGGTAGATGGAGAGAAAGTTAGAAGAGAAAGGGAGAGACAGTGTCTGGCCTGTGACAGCCCGGTGTCACTGTGTCACTTCGTCACTTCAGCCGTCAGAGGGCCAAGCTCCTGTCACAGCCTCCTCTTCATCATTACTCATCATCATCATCATCACACTTTTTCACTAAAGAGGAGAGCTGACAGTTAGAGCTGAGAGATCCAGACAGAGCCCTAGTCAGTGGTTAATACACTGACTAGTATTGAATGATGACTGGGCATTTCTGTCTTTCTCTGTTAACCGGTTTGTCTGCTTCTGTGTGTTTTAGCTGCGCAACTTAGGCAGTGACATGTGCATGGAGAACAAACACTTTTCGTCTGGGTCTCCCATCCGCCTGGAGACATGTCTTAAGGGGCGGGGCGAGGCCGGGTGGAGCCATGGACAGGTGAGGAGCTTAGTACACACCACTAAATTCAGACACCTGTCTGCTGTGACACGTACTAGTTTTCCTCTAGTTTTGCATACACTTAACTTCATTTTGTACTGTGTACAGACAGCTTTCTGCCTTCATAAGTACTACCAACACACACACACACGCGTTATGTTTTTCTTTTCTCGTGGGGAAGTAAACATTTCCATTCAAAATCCTACTTTCCCTAACCGTAACCCAAACCCTAAACCTAACCCCTAAGCTTAATGTAGCTTTCGTCCTCATAGGGACGTGGGAAATGTCCCCACGAGGGAGAATTTTCCTTATTTTACTATCCTTGTGGGGACTTTTGTGGATTTTAGGTCCCCACAAGGATAGAAGAACCAACCCCCACACACACACACTGGTGCCATTCTCTCACACACACACACACATGCACACTTCATTATCTCTTCTGTTCTAATGTAGTCCCATTTGTTCCCCTTGTCATCCAAAATAATTTTTAGAAGAGCTCATAACCGAATGTTGATGGATGGCCATGTTTTCTCTTTATTTTCTAAGTTGCCTGCTCTGACTCTGTGCTTTGACAGTTTAATTACAGTAATTTAAAGAGCTGTTGTAGTTTAATCTCTGTCATGGTTGCAATTTGTATTCAATGCTGGGACGACAAACTGCATCAGTGCAAATCAAAGAACTCTGTCTGGCTACAGTCCAAGCCGGGGCCTTTTGAATATTACAGCAGAGGAGCCCCTTCCAAACAACTATTTTGACCGATGTTGGAACTCCCAGGGCGGTTCTCTTCAACCCTAGTTCTGAAGACTCACACGGTGTGCAGGCTTTTGTTCCAGCTTATTATTAACACACCTCAAAGGCATGATGAGTTAAATCAGATGTTAGTACTGGGCTAGAACAAATGCCTGCCCTGTGGGTCTCCCAGGATCAGGAGTGACACTTGCTCCAAGAGGAGAGCTAGAAGTGGGGGGCCCCTCTCCTGAGGTTTTCTGATCCAAGTTGTCTCTGCCCCCTCCAGGTGTTCACGTTTGGCTGGAGGGAGGACATCCGCGTGGGGGACCCCATGCACACTAAGAAGGTGTGTTTTGATGCCATCTCCCACAACAGCCCCGTCACCCTGTACGACTGCCACGGCATGAAGGGCAACCAGCTGTGGCGCTACAGGAAGGTAAGATCTCTCTTTCTCATTCACCCACACACACCCTCTTTTTCCAAGTAAAAAGACAAGTTTGTGAGTTGCTTGTGGTGCACTTTTTTGTTAAAGCCGAACAAGCTTCAAGATGTATTTTTGATCCTTTGTATTTCCTTCTCCTTTTGATAAAATGCCACAGGCTGCTACACATTGATAATGCAGTATTCGCCTAGATAGAAAACGACTTTCACCTGTTTAAGCTTGGTGTACCCTGTTAGAACAAAATGACTCCTAGTTTTCCATGCAGGCTAATAAGTATGTATTTATAAAATTACCTATTTTTGAAAATATTTTCAGTTAAATGCACTGTAATTAAATAATCATTACCATCTCTCTCGCCTCTTTTCTCTCCCTCCATCTCTGTAGGATAAAAGTTTATATCACCACATCAGTAACAGCTGTATCGACAGCAACCCCACAGAGAGAAAGGTGTTTATGAACACGTGTGACCCCAGCGTCCCCAGCCAGCAGTGGGTGTTTGAGAAGACCAACACCACGGTGCTGGAGACGTTCAACCGCAGTAACAACTGAGACCAGTAGGGGTCAGCACTGAGACTGAACCTGAATACCACTCACCCAGGGACTGTGTTGTTTTACTAAGACAGAAGTGTGCTGTTGTTTCTCTAAAGGGGTCTGGGGGGAAAATAAGTGAAAGGGGGGGTTTAGCATTGGCAAGCCAGTCTAGACACATCAGTTATTGGGAGATGGAGAAAGGATGGCGCCTGAGAGGCTCTCTCTGTGGTGACGGGGACTTCCTGCGTCAGGGGGATTAGGTCTGTCACGGCATGGCCATTCTGGCGGTGGCCCATCTCACTTCCTTATTCACGCTCCGCTCTACTTCTCCGTGCATCTCCCAGGTGTCTCTGCCCATACGTCCATCTCCATCACCCTTCTTGAGTGAGCCTCTTACTCAGTCACTCTCTTTCCATTCTCTTCATTTGGAGCCCCTGCTCTGACAGCCCCCCCCTGAGACTCCCACTGAACCAAACCCAGACTGACACTTGGGTAAAGCCAGCCAGAACCAACCACTCTGCAAAGCACCGTGTTGATTCTTGGTTTTGTTTTCTTGCTATGCTCACTTGGCTAGCAGTTTCTCATTCTTGGTTTCCTCTCTATTGCTTTGATCAAAAGTGGAGTTGGGCAAACTCTGTCCAAATGTAGAGGGGAAAGAAAAACCCTGCATATTTTAGAAGTTAATTTTTAGATCTGAATGAATAATACTATAGTAGCAGCACTTTGTCTCAGCACTCTATCTATTCAAAGGGCTGTGATTTGATGCCAATGATGGATCTCTTCCATGTGATTTGTCCAGAGAGGGAACTGTAAGGGCTCTAACTACTGTCGGCAGTTTCTTTCTGTCCCATCCGCTGAACAGAGGCTCCATCTGCCCTCTGGGATGAACCCAGGCAGTCTCTGGAACGACCTCATTACGAAAACACTGAACCGTGTGGCAGAAAAACACACTGAGGTCAGCAGCACCGAGACCGTAGACAGGCCATGGTGGCTTCCCAAACTCATCAGGAGTGTCTCTAGACTGGTTTGCCCAGGGGGAGGGGTTGGTGATGGGTATTATAGGTGTTTTAAATGCATTAAGCACTTGCAATGATAAACTTGAATGAAAATCTTAGTGCCTTGCTGGATGAGAGCAGAAGTATACGGTCTGACTTGGCCTGGCCTGGTGCCCTATTCAAGTCCTCCAACTCCTACACTGTCTCAGACTGACTGAGATGGTGGAGAGAGAGGCCATCTGAGGTGACACTGGCTCTTAACCATGGATGGGTTTCTACAACACTAATGTATTTGTAATGATAGTGAATAGCTGAAGAGACTATCAAACAACTATGTGTTCTCCTGCCTTTAAAAGTGAACAGCTTCCCTGCAAAGACCCTCTTTATGTTTATGATATGTCACCATCATGCCATGTTGTTATCAAAACCCAATAGGACATGCAAGCATTCATTAATATTGATTTCCTGTTCTTGTTGTTTTTGTTTAGGTTTTGTCGCGTTATTACTTTCTCAGCGTTTCATGTTTTCTTTAAGTTTTTCGTCTTAGTTTAGCCAATGAATATATTTCCTATATCTAATGCAATGATTTGACTTGGATGTTGTTCAGAAAGACTGCTTACATTGCCTGCTGTGTAGTTTAGTTTTTGTTTCCCTCTTCTCCTCTGAAATAATACCAAAGCAGGGTGCATGTAATATGCATGATGCAAAGATCACACCTTTCCTTAATCTAACCATCTTCCTAGCCTTTTCGGAAATCGATATCAATCAAATTGGCATAAATACTATTTTGTTAATTATTTTATCTGATGGAATTTGAGTACACTAGTATGTGTTGTAGATTTTAACTGTTGGCCAGCAGAGTTTAAACTAAAATAACAGTGTTCCTTCCATGTGTTGTGGAGAAAGGTTGGAGAAGTTCCATAAGGGAAGATCCACGTGGCACATTGGTATGAGATGCTGCACGATCAGGCTTTGGGCAACTTTACTTATGAAGCATCTTTATTGCAAAGTAATGTAATAATGTTGTATGTGTTCCTTCTTATTAAACTGAAATGTAGGACTGGCTGGGGAATCCAAAATTGCTCACTTTCTTTGATTTCACTTTCTAGAAATGTTCATAGTTTTACCCAGGCAAGTAAGCAGCATGTATGGAAGACCAAAGCTTTACAAAATGGACAAATCTAAGTAAACTTGTTCAATGTCCTTTAAAAAACTGTTTTCTTGTTTATGTTTTTGGTTATTTATCCTTTTAGTTTTGCGTGTTATTTTTGCAATCCAAAATATTGAATTTCTGGCTATTCCAGCTAAATAGATTTCACAATTATGATAACAGAAGAATTAGATCTGTACTAGAATTATAAATTAAGTTGATGAATTGTCCCTTCTTTTACACTAATATTATTAGTGTAAGTAGCAAAATAACTTGACATGGTTTAAATTACCATAATAGAACTAAGGTTGGAATTCAATCAAACCAGCACTGAGGTTATAAAAAAAATGAGACCATGTCCATTGAGGGAAACTTTAAAAAAAACCATTTTGATTTATGCTTTTTCTCTTGTGATGCATTGATCTATGTTCTCTTAAAATGCTCCACCAGTCAGTCCAGGACTGCACTGCCAATGCCAGAATGATGGGTTGAAACATGTTTACTTTAAAGAATTGACGTTTATATAGTAATGCTATGTTTGTGTCTGAGGGAATAAACAGGGTTGTTGTACCTTTGGACGAATAATAATCTTGCAAATGTGGTAAGACTCCCCCAAATCCATGGCAGTTAATTGAATACTTAGCAGACTGTTCAGTTTGTGGAACAAGGATATTTGCAGTACATTGACCCTGTCCATTGCACATGTAAATGGCATTTTATTTTGATTGTCATGATTTATAACTTGGGTTGGAAGTGGTTTAAAAAAATGTAATTGTGGTTTTAAACTACATTTTATACAGTGCAATTTTTTCATGATCTTGTGTTAGAATTAAATATTCAGCTAAAATGTGAAGACAATACTTCTTTTTTTAAATAAAAGTTTGTAAGGTGTTAGACCATTGTTGGTCATTCACACAATGCTATGTACGTGTGCAATTTCTATTTGTAGGGAAGTATACATTTTGTATCATGAATATCCAATATTTTTTTTCTACTGACATAATGACTGTAAAAATGTATTTAGGTGTTTTAACACACTGTGTACAAATAAATTGGAATTGTATAATATTTTTTGCTGAAATTGTAAAATAAATGTTTCTATATTTGAATTATTTGTTCTATAGTTTTGGGGGATAAACATTTTACATTTGAGTCATTTAGCAGACGCTCTTATCCAGAGCGACTTACAGTTTTATGTAGCAATAATCAAATCCCATCTCAAATTAGAAGAAACAAGCACATGCAGATAATGGAAATAATATTTCCAATTTCATTAAGTAATTTCATAATACGTTAATAAATTCACCATATGTGGGCCATGGTTGGTTGCATTTGGAACCACACAAAACATAATTGTAACTACAAACAAAACAAATGCACAAGTTTAGTAGAGATTGGTCGACTATATTTGAGTCACTGTCCTCACTGGACCCTCTGTCAATTTTTATTCGGACTCTTGAGTTTCCTGGGCCACTGGCTGATTTCCATCCCAGGACCTCTTCCGAGAGACCGAAAGTACACTTGGGACTAGCACATTGGGAATGCCACTGTCCTCATAATTTATATTTTTCTTCAGAGGGTCGCCCTCTAGCTGGCAGCAGCCTGGGCTTCTTGAAGGGCTGGACTCCCTGCTCCTCTTACAGGTGACCATAGAGGTGAGGAAACTGGCAGACTCATCTGATGCTCTCTTCCTCTTTGAGGGTGTGACTACTGGCCAATTGAGAAGTGGCCAATTCTGTGGCTGTCCTATGGCAGCCCCTTGGCACTACTGTTCACAATGCAAAAATATAAACACAACATGTAAAGTATTGGTCCCATGTTTCATGAGCTGAAATAAAAGATCCCAGAAATGATCCATACACACAAAAAGCTTATTTCGCTCAAATTTTGGGCACACATTTGTTTACATCCCTGTTAGTGAGCATTTCTCCTTTGCCAAGATCATCCATCCACCTGACAGGTGTGGCATATCAAGAAGCTGATTGAACAGCATTTCATTACACAGGTGCACCTTGTGCTGGGGAAAATAAAAGGCCACTCTAAAATGTGCAGTTGGTTACACAACACAATGCCACAGATGTCTCACGTTTTGAGGGTGAGTGCAATTGGCATGCTGTCCACTAGAGCTGTTGCCAGAAAATGTAATGTTCAATTCTCTACCATAAGCCGCCTTCAACATCATTTTAAAGAATTTGGCAGTACGTCCAACCGGCCTCTCAACCGCAGACCACATGTATGGCATCGTGTGGGCGAGCGGTTTGCTGAGGTTATGGTATGGGCAGGTATAAGCTACAGACAATGAACACAATTACATTTTATCGATGGCAATTTGAATGCACAGAGATACCGTGACGAGATCCTAAGGCCCATTGTCGTGAGATTCATCTGCCGCCATCACCTCATGTTTCAGCAAGGATCTGTACACGATTCCTGGAAGCTGAAAATGTCCCAGCTCTTCCATGGCCTGCATACTCACCAGACATGTCACCCATTAAGCATGTTTGGGATGCTCTGGATCGACGTGTACGACAGACAGCCTGTTCCAGTTCCCGCCAATATCCAGCAACTTCGCACAGCCATTGAAGAGGAGTGAGACAACATTCCACAGGCAACAATCAACAGCCTGATCAACTCTATGCGAAGGAAATGCCGCGCTGCATGAGGCAAATGGTGGTCACACCAGATACCGACTGGTTTTCTGATCCACGCCCCTACCTTTTTTTTTAAAGGTATCTGACCAACAGATGCATATCTGTATTCCCAGTCATGTGAAATCCATAGATTAGAGCGTAATTAATGTATTTCAGTTGACTGATTTCCTTATATGAACTGTAACTTAGTAAAATAATTGAAATTGTTGCATGTTGCGT